CCGCGAGGGCTGGGGCCCGAGAGCCCCAGCGACCTCAGTCCCCTCGGACGGGAGACGACGCCAGCTGTGTCCGCACAGGGAGGCGGGTCCCAGCGGAGACCCTCTGGCGCGTGCCTCAGGTGGCTGCCAGGGAAGGTGGGGAGCCAGGCTGCGCCCGCCGGACTCCTCCTCCTGCGGCGCACGGCGTGTTTCCGGCGGCGCTGGCTTTGGCTTGACTCAGTCCGGAAGGCTGAGCCTGGGGCCCTCTAGCCCTGCCCATTTGTGATTCATCACATCAGTAGGTTTTATTATAACCAGGGCTGGGGCTGGGTGCTTGTCGGGCCTTCGAGGACCCAGCCTGTGGTTCTGTCCTTTTAAAAATTCCCAAGGAAAAAATTGCTCCCGTTTTCGAAACTTAACTGTGAGCCTAATTCCCTTGAGATTGGAAAACAGTGCTTGTTTTACTGTATGTAGCCACTTAGGAAATGCTTGGTCAAAGGAGAGTCAAAAAGTGTGAGTTAGGGGGAAACTGATGGATGAATGACCCCCTCACCAGTGGGTACCCTGCAAAACCCTCCACCCCATCCTCAGGTCTTGAACACCCGTTTGGTGCTGGATTGGCCTCAGAAACAAATAATATTACAGTGTCTGAAATGGTCCCAGATCCTGTTATTTTATTAGTGACTCAATTTTTTCTCATATATCGCAATTATCTGTTATTTTGTCTGGAGCCCCCATTTAACTGTGTGAGCTTTTATGTTAAAAACAGCCCACATTTGTTGCAAAGAGATCCTTAATAGTGCTTTGCTCCATTTCTTCAACATCTACTTTGTGACAGACCATACAGTATTTTGTGCCTAGGAAAGGTGGGTACTGGAGTTCTGCTCGCCAGTGTCAGGCGACCTCATCAGACTAACTCAGCAGGTGAGACCTCAGTAAAGGAATGAGAAGGCCTCTGAGTGGCTGTGTTAGTTTGCTTAGAATGCATCCACTGCGAACAGGAAATTGGTTTGGTTCCTCGACCACACTTGTTGGTCCTTCCCTGTTGGAGTTATGTTTGTGGCACATTTCCTCCCTTCTCCAGCAAGGGGGATGGAAAATTCATTACTCAAAACAGGACCACACCTCAGGCCCGAGGTGGAATTCAGTTGATCTTGTGATCCATCAAAAGAGTCAAATGTTAACTAATCTGGTTATTTATAAACATTAAATATACCTTAAATTTTCATCCTGATGTGCTCAAGTTGGTGCCATTGGCCACCTAGAACACCTGCTTCTAAAGCACTGCAGGGGTAGTTTGGGGTCGCTGGGACCTGTCCAGACATGAGTGGCATAATGGGCTGTAAATGTGGGAAAGAGGAAATCGACAGTTGGGTTGCTTTTTTTGAAAAAAAAAAAAGACAGACAGCAGGTGGGGATAAGGTCTGGCGTTTGATCCCCGGTACAAAAGAAAAATAAAAAGTGACAGCTACAGCTACCACTTACTGAACTGCTGCACACAAGGACTTGGCTAAGTAATAATAACACATAGTTATTACCTTTGAATTGGATATGTTTTAAGAGTTGTTAGACTGCTCTTTTTATCCACCCCAACTGTTTCGTTTCCATATTGTTTGTGTTAGGAAGTAATAGGGATGTTTGATCAATCCTGATTGTTAGTTTCTGGGAGCTACATATTGTGATTGGCTTCCTTTTTAAAATTTTTTCTCCTAATACTGGGATTGAACCCAGGCCCTTTGCACTAAGCTACATCCCCAGTCACCCCACCCTTTTTCCCCCCCTCCCTTTATTTTCTTACCGTGAGACAGGATCATCTTGCTAAGTTGTTCAGACTGGGCTTGAATTTGTGGGCCTCCTGCCTCAGGCATATGCAGCCACACCCAGGTGTGACTAGCCTCATAATAAGGTAACTGAATTATTTTTAAGCCAATATTCACAAATACTTTAGGGAAACCTGAGGATTGGAGAATTTCTGTGTGAGGTCTGCACACACCTGGCTCAGAGTGAGCCAAAAGTTACTGTTGCTCTCCAAATTTCAGGTAGTTTTGATTGAATTTTATTTACATATGTTTTCAGAAAACTTTGAGGGTGTTTGAAATTTTTTTTGTTTTTTTTGTACTGGGGATTGAACTCGCAGGCAATGAAACTACTGAGCCAAATCCCTGGCCCTGTTCTTTCTGTCTTGAAAGTTAATCTCTTCAAGTTTTTACTGAGGGTCAACCATGTTCATAAAAAGAACATGTCTACTGAACCAGACATTGTTACTCCCTGACCTTTTCTACCATCTTACCTGAATTTCACAGTGTAGAATGGATGGTTTGACCTTCAAAAAGTGAAAGCTATGAATGAAATTCATCTGGAACAATCAGTAGTGGTTGGAAAAGTAGTGTCCATACTTCTAACTTGTTTTCTGCTGATCCCAAACCCACTCTGCCCCTCAACCCATCTCCTCACACAAAGGTGGGATTTGGTGGACCTGTATAACTGAAAAAGTTACACGTCATGCTGGACATGGTAATATGTGCCTGTAATTCCAACACTCACGGGAGGCTGAGGCAGGAGGATCACTGAGTTCAAGGTCAGCCTGAGCTGCAAGGTGAGACCCTGTCTAAAATAAAAATTAAAAAAAGAAGTCATCTCATACCATTTGGTATCATTCTCAGGAATACCACTTGTGAATTGTTCCCCCCGCCCCAAATATGAGGTAGACATTTAAAATCTAGAGAAATAACTACCCCATAAGAACTCATATTAGTTTTTGGTTTTAGTGTGAGTGTATTTTAACCTCATGGTGTTTTATTTATTTACTTTCCTTTTTTCTGATATTCTTAACTTGTAGGGTAGGGGGGAGTGTTTGTTTTTTATTAAATCAATTTAACCAACATTTTTCATGGTGGGGGTTAGACCTCAGATAGAGATGTTTGTGTTTTTATCTTTGTTGCTCCTTTTTGGGTTTTTGGTCAGCACTAAATGACTAATTGTGGTTAAAATATGTCCCTTGTAACTAAATAAACAGGTTCCTAGGTTACGGTATCAAGACCATTGGTAAATAATTCAGGGAGTTTGTGGCAAGGGATTTCTTGAACAGTTCTGCTGGGAATTTAACATGTGTTCTGTATGAAAAAGAATATGTACAGAAAATTTCCTTCACAAAGAACTTTCACTGTGATTCATTCCATAAACAGTGAGAGAAAAGTTTTGAGTCAAAGGTGAATAAGCAGTACAACCTTAATCCTGGACACTGGGTTAAAAGAAAGAAAATATGCTTATGCCTCTGAGTGCCTGAGTATTAGAGGTTTGTTTTCTGAATCTTTTTCTTTTCTTTTCTTTTCTTTCTCTTTTTTTGATTGTTAGAATGGATCTGATATTCCAACTGTTAGCTTTGGGACAGGGACTAAATAACATTATATTTCCTTTGTGACTTTTTCAATTTTAGTGACCCCTATCCATAAGAATCTAGTGTCTACCGTATACTTACATTTGATATAGAAACATTTCCATATAAATGTCAATTTTTATTTTCCTTTCACTTGCTTCATTTGAATATAACTTAGCCAATTCATATCATTTTATAAGCTATTCATGAAGACGTGACTGTCTGTATACTACACATATATCTTGTTTCATCTCATCAAGTATAACTACCAACAGTGCTTAGGATTCCTTCCAACCTAGTTTGTTTACCTTGTTTGAGAGTTTTTTAGTAGAAAGTAGGGTTTGAAAGCAGGACCTCTAGCTTGTGTTTTGTGTCATCTTATTGAGTCCTCAAGACTCTTGGAAATAAACTACTAACAGAAGATTTTCTTTTATCCTTTTTTAGGAGGCTTTTTATCAAGCCTTGTCTGCTGCAGGAGATAAACTTGTAGTAGTTGATTTCTCAGCCACGTGGTGTGGGCCTTGCAAAATGATCAAGCCTTTCTTTCATGTACGTATAAGAGATATGTGATTTCTGGAGTTGTTGGTCACAAAGCTAGGGGAATTAGGATAGTTTGGGGGTTTTGTTTTGTTGGATCATTGGTTAAAAATAATATGTCATGTAGGTGTGATACATGGATCCCATTTAAGATGACTTTCCAAAGTTAATTTCCTTCATCTTCATTGGTTTTACCTTTTTTCAAGTTGAAATGTGCCCAAATGGAAATCCAGTCAATGTGGCAAATTATTTTTGCACTAGGAAGAATTTGATTTGGAGGGAAATGTATGTTCCTGATGCTTAAGATCTGGCCCCTAGTTTTCTACTGAAGACGCTTGAGTGTATTGATTTGCCTTTCCCCAATTCTAAATCTTTTTTAATTTTTCATTTTAAATTTTTCAGAACCTGTCTGAAAAATATTCCAACGTGTTGTTCCTTGAAGTGGATGTGGATGATTGTCAGGTACGGAGCTGAAAATTCAGGATGCTACTGATCTTTTCAGATTGGGCTTTGTGTTTGAATTGTACAAAGCTTCCCCCCCCCATAAGTATACCAGATAATTAGAATGGTAACCCTATCTAAAGCATTATTTTTCAGAAGAACAGATAATTTATGGGCTTAATCGTAGGTATCATGAGCTGTGTCTGTCACATCCCAAAGCATAAAAATGGATGAGGTACAGGTGATAGTGGCGTCTGTATCTTGTCACTTCCATACCTATCTAAAACCCTCCGTCTCTACCATTCTGAAATGCTCAATAAATAGAAGTTGAGTTTGACTACAGAAAATGTGTAGATGGTATGACCAAGTTGCGAGACCACTTTAAGCATTGTTTATGAACTTTTCATGGCACAGGAATGGATATTCACAAGCCTACTCTTAAGTTCTGGTTGATTTTAGTGAGTGGTACCTCACATACTCCTGTAATCCCAACACTCTGGGAGGCTGAGGCAGGAGGATTACAAGTTTGAGCCTGCCCTGGGCAATTAGCCAGACCCTGTCTCAAAAATTTTTTAAAACAGGGCTAGGGATATATAGCTCAGGGCAAAGGCCCCAGGTTCAATCCTCAGTGCTGCAAAGAAAAAAAGGAGGAGGGGGAGGGAAAACTCAGTTGCTTTAAAGAAAAAGTACAATAGAAAGCTAAGAATAATGGGAAATTCCAGGGTTGGTTTTCATTCAACAAAATCTTGTTTTGTACTTGATACATACCTGTGTGCTTTACAAGTATTGACTCATTGGGTCCTTTGTGTTATCGGCGATTAGAGATGAGAAAACTTAAAACAGACATTGTTGTCCCTGGAGTTGCATAGAGTATGTGGCAGAGTGAGTGTTTAGGGCAGAGTAGTCTGGCTCCCCTTCGCTTACCCTTACCTACTGGGCTTCAGAGGACGCTGTCTTGGGGTGGGCCCAGATCTGGCCCTTAGCTCGTGACCTTACCTCTCACAGCCTGAGGAACTGCAGAACTGGTAGAGTTGTTCAGGATGCAACACCTCGTTCCTCTACAGATGAGTGAAAGTTTTTACTTAGGATAGTGTGACACAGCAACGAAAGTGCTGAACTTGGGCTCCAATCCTGGCTCGCTGGCTTCTGCTTTAAGCCAGTCTTCCTTCTCCCTTGAGCCTTGGTTCTTTCTCTGCCTGCCCCATTAACCTCTGCAGGCTGTCATTCGCTAAATAAACATGGAAGGGCTCCTACAGGTGCTGGAGTATACGGCGGTCCTCTCTACCCACCAACACCAGATGCTGCTTCTCAGCTCATTTTCTGTCTTCCGGGAAAGGTACTTACCTGCCTTTCTCTGTGCTGTCCTATCTGGGCCATCCTTTCCTCTCCTACCTTACTCTCTCCTACTTAATCTCCACCTATTGCCTCCCATGTACTTTCTCCAGTTACGCCCCTCTGTGCCCCAGGCAAGCTTTGTGTCTCTTCCTTTGTCCTCATGATGTTCTTTGCCACCCCATTTTCCTCTTACATTTATGCTAGTGAAATGGGACAGATTCTGTATCCAGACCACTTGGTTTATTTCTAGTTCAATAGAGGTCTTGGTTAAGTCATTTACCTCTTCCGTGCCTTAGTTTTTATCCTCTGTAAAACAGTATTTTCATCAAGTTGTTGCCACTGTTAAATGAGGTAACTCGAAGTACTTAGAACAATGCCTAGCATGTAATAAGGACTGTGTGCAGTTAGGGTATTATTACACAAGCTAAGCTTCCCTGATCCAAATCCAAAGTCCTCTGAAGTCAGAAACATTTTGAATGCTGAATTCCTGCTCAAGATTGAGCAGCATAGAGATCCCTAGACTTCAGCTGGAAGAATTTATTTTATAGGTATCATAGGTTCAGATGGCCTGCATGTGTAAAAGTCATCAGTATTCTTAACAAAAATATGAGTACTGGGAACGTGGTGGGCTGAACATATATTTCTTTGGCAGCCAACAGGGTATGATACTTATTTTGTAAATGAATACAAACAAAGTGGTTTAGACTGAAATATTATGCAACCTTTGGGAATACTTTGTGTTTCAATTTTGAGTAGAAGGCTCAGGAGTAAGCTAATAAAAGTGGAAAAGCATGCTTAAAGTTATTTTGGTTCTATGGAGTTTTAACCCAGAAATCAATAAAAGTAAATTTTACACTTTTAGTCCTATTTTCTAATCAAAGCCTGAGACTGGCAAAACTGTCAAACTCTTGGGCTCCATAAAATATTTTACTAGATAATACTGTGTTTCTGGATATTTACTCAACATTAATACTGTGTCAGTATTCCTAGATTTGTCTAATGTTAACCCAGTTTCAGCCTGACTTTTTTTTTTAATTGATCATGACAATCTGAAATAGCATAGGCAGGAAAACCCTGGATTTTTAAGAAATAAAATAGGGAGAAAAATTAGCAGAACCTTCATAAAAATAAAGCGCATATTAACTGCATTAATTTTGTGGTTCAATAACCAGAGTACGTAAATCGCTAGAACAGATAAGTCCAGAAAAATAGAACCCAGACTGTTTACCCGTATATTCACAATTACCCACTTAAGATTAAAATGTTGCATCTGCACCTCATTCTTTATTTACAAATAACTCAAACAGTGTGAAGATAAAAAGCCTAGAACATATTAAACGTATGAGAATGATAGGCTGTATACTATCTCTTTACTAGATACGCGCACCCCATCTTAACACTTTTTCTTCTTTGACTACTGAGGAATTGGCCTGGGAATGCTGTGTCACCCATCTCAAAACATGCAACCCTTCTCTGTGAGCATCCTGTTTCTAGTTTTACTCTATTCTAGCAGTAACACTTTGATTAAGAAGTTGTGATTAAATGTCCAGCTTTTATAATCATCTGTGAATTCATCGCCCATAATAAAACTAGAAAAATAATGAGCAAGAACTGCTATTCTGAGAAAGAGTGACAGTAAAATCCTGAATCCACATAACAGTGGAATTCATTGCTTTAAGATGACAGCCAGGTGTGGTGCTGCACCCCTGTCGGCGGTGCTAAGGCAGAGGCTTCACTGTGAGTTCAAGGCCAGCCTAAACCATACAGCTGAGCCCATCTCAGGAAAAAAATAAAACAGCCAACAATTGAATTAAACTACATAGTGAATCACTGCACTGTAACTAATCCAGGTAGCAATCTGCCTGTTGGTTCCCCTTGAAGGTGGTAGATATTACTAAGAATTTTTAATTGAGAATATAACCAGTTTGACTTTAGTGCTGCCATTACATTCGTTGTATTGATTTTTACATGCTAAAAATGTGTCCTATTGCTGAAATATGGCGATGTAACAGGTAAGAGGATCTGGTTTTGGACTATTTGCCTTAAATCCCCATACCCACTGTCCTGCTCTACCCTTCTCCCCAGGACATTGCTGCAGAGTATGAAGTCAAATGCATGCCAACCTTCCAGTTTTTTAAAAAGGGTGAAAAGGTACGTGCATCTGACCTTTCAGAAAGCTAACTGGACAAAAGGAAAACTCGTAAATGCAAATGAAGAAACAATTGAATTGCTCCCCCACACACACAATATTAAGCATGTTGCCATTTTCTGCATTCAAGAATATTTACAGTGGGTGTGGTGGTGCGTGCTTATTTTCCCTGTACTCTGGGAGGCTGAAACAGAAGAATCTCAAGTTCTAGCCCAGTCTGGGCAACTTAGTGAGACCCTGTCATAAAAAATAAAAAGGACTGGAGATACAGCTCCGTGCAGAGTCCCTGGGTTCAATCCCATGAACCGCAAAAA